AGCTAGCTTGCCCTGCGCTCTTCCTTCTGACATGCTGTCTGTATTGAGCGCTCAGTGGATCTGCGCTTGACAGTGCAGCCTAGGCGGAGTAGTTGAACGCAGATCCACTGAGCGCTCAACACAGACAGCATCGTCAGAAGGAAAGTTGATAAAATAAATTACAAATTTTGTATTGTTCGATACATATGTGTACCGAACCGAAAGCACTGTATCGAATGGTTCAATATCAATACGAATATCGTTGCACCCCTACTATTTGGGCACAAGCATCTAATGCAATGAAATAAAATAATAATAATTGCCTATTCTACATGCAAAAAAATATTTAATATAATATAAGAAGCCACATCATGCAGACAAATATGATTTGTCAGGCTTCAAATGTCTACTGTACAAAAGGCCAGCCAGTTCGCAGAACTCACGAACGGAGCCACATCTGCGGAGTAAGATATCAGCATACGGCTGCCGTTTAGCCAATGAGCGGTGAGGCAACCCATTCTCTTCACCAATCAGAAGACACAATTCTACCTCATCATTACGCACACGTCGACGCAGAGAGTTCGGTCGGAGCTGCAGGTGGGAAGAGTCAGCAGAGTTTTACTCACCGTGTGGATTTTCATTCCTTCTAATGCTGTTAGCAGTGTGCGTCCATGAGACTGTAAGTTTCTGTGTTTTATCGTGTTTGTTCTTTGCTGCGGCCATTATCCTCCCTTGTTTAATCCTTGGCGCACACTTTGTTTACCGATTGTTACTGCCGTTTACTGCGAAGCAGCCTCTGCCGTGCGGTCATTAAGGGACCATCACTAATTTCTCATGTTAGCTCTAATGTAAAGTGCCTAGTTAGATTTATGTAAATAGTAAAATTAGCATTTGTTGACACTCCCTTATTTTGGTTGACTGTTCCACTATCCAGTATTGTTTGTATTGTTGTATTACACATTCAATTCACTCTGTTCACATAATTATGGAAGACTTTTATGTTCTTTCCAACAGAAACCACACCATCACTCACAGATACCTGAGTGGCAGTGGATTTTGTGGATACGCCATCTGTTCTTATTGGACAACCCTGTTGAGATTGTGGATTCATAGAGTCAGCACCTTATCATCTACATCAGTCATAGTCAGGAGGTCAAGTCCATTCCTCTTACAGTGACCTCCTCCATTACATCTACACTGTGGAGGGTGCTAAGTGCTGTCTGAGATACCCTCTTGTAATCAGTGTTATGCTTAGAGCTACATTGGGTATTAGTGATTGCAGGTACTCAGTATGGAGCCCTTTTCCCACCAAACGTGCACAGTATTGCAAAACATTATCAATTAATATTTAATCTTCATTTATTATGTATAACTGTAGGGAAACCATTACTTAAGCAGGCATAAAGAAATGCAAAACAGTTGTGCTACTGTTCAAATTAGTCATGCTACCTGTGGTCAATGTTTGGGAAAATGAAAAATAAAAATCTTTTATGAGGCATTGTATAGTGCAAAAGACCACTCCTCCTGTTTGGATTCCTCATTTTCCAGCCTGGTACTGTGCAAATAAGCCTGGCTGATAAAGTCATGTCATCTGTTCTCAAATGTAGCATATTCCAAAAGGGAAGTGGGGCCTTTTTTGAAACAAGATACAATCTGTTCTCTTCATACATGCATTAAGCAAATAGCTTAAAAGGCACCATACAGGACTGTGCACTTTATATATGTAAGACTGCAGTAGTTAGGGTTAGCAGTAGTTTCCTTTTTAACACTGGACGTCTCAGAGAGCAGCCATTTGGCTTTTCTACCTTTAAAACCTGCCTTCCAGCCAAATGGCTGGTAGGTTTTTAGCTAATATCCTTAATCACCTGTGAACAGCTGCTTTTGTTATGTAAATAAGGTTTGGCCATGCTGAGCCACTTGGAGTGGTTAGTTTCCTGAGCCACAAGGAAACTTGTGTTTTACTTTGCCATCTTAGGGAGAAATCAACACACATAGGTGTATTTTCTTTGTTGCTGAGATTTATTGATAAAAACAGTACAAAAAAAAAACAACAACAACCATTTGCACACATATTTACAAATAATAATAAAAAGTGAGTGAGTACATTTCAACATTTTCAGCAATCACTCACAATCCTGGCACTCCCATGGTATCTGTAGTCTGCATTTACCACATGTGTATCTGTAGCAGTGAACACATCGCACAGTGGCATGATTGTTCTTGCATTTGTGTTTGACCTGACACATGGCTCTTTTTCCAGGGCTAGGTGTGGAGGGTTGTGTCTGAAGCAACTGTTCTTTTCTTGCCTTCTTCGCAGCTACATGAGAGTTAGCCAACTCTCTTGCAAGTTCCACCAGGAAGTCCACCCATCTTTCCTGCGTCCCGGTGAATGCTTGATACAGCACATGTGCATTCAGTGCTGCCATGTCAATCATGTTATAGAACACGGCAAATGGCCAGCGCCGTGTTCCTCTGCGGACAGTGTACTCCCGCACCATCTGGTCCATCACATCCACGCCACACTTTGTGGTGTTGTAAAGGGTGACGGTGTTTGGCTTCCTTTTGGTGGTGTTATCAGTCTGAACCACGCTGTGCATGCTGCTAAGAATATAGACTGTCTTCTTCCGTTTGGCCGCATACGCCGTCAGCGTGGCAGCAGAGGTTGAAAACACCTAAGAAATAAGATAAATTGTTATTTCTATAGCACTTTTACACACAATGAAACACATAAACATAGAACCACAAAAGACCTGCAACATACCTGAGTGGTGAATTCATTGCGATCTGTGTGTCTAGTGGATTGAGGAATTTCCCGGCGAATCTTGTTGACTGTGCCGAGGACGGTGGTTTTCCGTCTAAGAAGTTTTTGCGCAAGTGAAAGCGATGTGAAAAAAATTGTCCGTGGTAATATTTCTGCCCTTGTCTAGGAATGGTTCCATCAGCCTCATTACTACATTTTCAGACAGTCTCTCCCCACTGGGACGATTGTGGTCCTTGCCAAGATATGGGAAGACATTGCAAATGTACTTGGATTTTAGGTCGCAAGCCACCCAAAACTTGATCCCAAACTTGTCAGGTTTACTTGCAATGTACTGCAGGAAACAGCACCGAGTCTTTGATGGGACTGCAGCGAACTTATCAGTCTTTGCTTGATCACTGCGGGTGGACCTGTCATCAAAGCGTAGGTGTTGCATGATGTCTTGGAAGCGGTTTTGCGGTATAGTTCCAATGATCTGTGGGTTTCCCAGGTTTGCTGACCAGCAGTCACGTAGTGATGGAACCCTAGTAACCCCCCGCAAGACAATTGCATCCACCTCAACACAAAAGGAAGTTCACAGCTTTTAGCAGCTCCCCCCCACACACACAAACAAAGAGGCAGTTGGCAGTTAGAAATCAGCAATCATTCACACACCCCCACTCCAATTCTCAGATAACGACCTAATTTACATATGAATTGATGCTAAAAGACTAGCCAATTTAGCTTCCACTTGGCTGACAGAGGGTTAGAAAAGTCTGAGACATAAGATTTCAGCTTGTGAATGTAAATTAAATAGATTAATAATGTTTCAATATAAATATGTTACAAAATGCTTTAAGAGCAAAAATTCAAAAACTGCTGTAAGTGAATTGTGGAATGTCCACTGACGTTTCTTCCCTCAGCAGTACGATCTGGCCATATAACATTTACATACTGCCAAAGTTATTAGGCCTGTGCACTGAGCCTTCACTGTGTCATTGTGAACAGCACTATTATGTTTTTATGGCCTCAATAACAGGGGTCATTAACCTTTTTGTTCCCATTCCTTTTTGTTCGAACACAGAACCTTGTTGGAATTTGAGCATATACTAAAAAGAGACATGGAACCCATTACAACAAATCTGATAATACCAAACAAACACACTGGAGGAGTTTATGCTTCTTTTTAAAGAAAACTAAAAGACACAATTTTCTCCCAGCTGGAGTGAAACAAAGTCTATATGGTTACTTTGGTGTCAGTGCAGAGAACTTAGCTAGTCTTATGACATATAATAACCTGAAACATCTTAATCCTGCACATATAGATGCTTAGGAAAACTGCATTCCAGTTTAAAACGCTTTATGTAAATGAATAAAACCACAAAGCCTGCTTTTACTGAGAAAATTGAGTTTTTGTTTCTATCGGGGTGTAATAACACATCTTATGAAATATTTAATCTCATTTATCAAAGAGTGTACAGTTAGTATGTGTTGTTTTTGCGTGTAAGAAAGATCAATCTGGCTACATAATTTACTTTATATTTCATCAATTTAAAAAAAAAATTCTATCCAGATCAGGGTCACAGAAAGCAAACAGAGACAGGGTACACGCCAGAGAGGTCAACAGTCTATCACAGAGAGACATACAACCATGTACTCTCACCCGCAATCAATTTATAATCAATAAATAAGCCAACAAGCATGTTTTAAGACTGTGGGAGTAAAACATAGAAACAGAGGGCCCCGGGCTGGCACATTCAAACCCTGAACCTACTGACTGTGAGGCAACAGCGTGTTTAATTTTATAGGCCTTTTCTAATGAAAATGCAAATTTACCTGTAGTTAAAAACTGAGGACTTGGAAGCAGCACAAGTGAGTCCTTCTGTGGTTGCTGATGAGTTTATACTTTCTGGTAAAAACAACAAAAAAACAACTAAAGTATATATATTTAGTATCTTCAGATAACTGAAGGAGCCTAAAATACGATCGTATAGTAATATCTGAACAGTTCAATTAAATTATAACAATCATAAAAATATGCCTGTTTCAGCACCAGAAGAAAATAATCTCTTCGCAAACTATATGCAGCAAAAACTTTAATTCTAGCGCCATCTAGTGGATTTACCCATACATAGAAAGCGAAAATTTGCCAGAACGGAAAAGATGTGAATCTCATAAATCTGTGACGCGAATTCACTATTTTTAGACCCAGCAATGATACATGATTCACTAAAACCATGATTCAGATGAAGTGGTCCCTATTATTTTTCACTATTGACTCATAGGGTACCTGGATTACTCATATAGGTGAGCTGGAAGCGGCACAAACAAAATGAGTTCTTTCGTGGTTGCAAGGCAGAAATCCAAAGAATAACAAAGATATATATATATATAT